TTTCACATTCTACTATAAAAACCTCTTATGGGCCAACATGGTCCGCCTATCGACATGAGTCTGTCTTAATATAGTTTAACCGATAGTCTGATAGTTAGAACCTAGTCAATCTGATTTGCGTGTATAGCTCTAATTCAATATCATGACTTACATTCTTTTTAGTACATTAGTTTTTGAACCGTGCAATGCAAGGATTGCGTTATTTTGAAGGCTATGTTAGCGTGTCTTGAATGTTAAAAATTGATGGAATTTTGTATTACAAAATGTTAACAAAGTGTAACATTAAGGAATAGAAGAGTAAGTTATGTTAGAGTTTTTCAAAACAATGACAATACAGATAACATTTTTTCATTGTTAAATATACATGTCTGAAAAATGAATTCATGGAATACAAATCTTAAAATCAGACCTCAGTATTCCAATGGTTATGCATAAGTCTTTCCATCAAAATGATATGTTGACACAATCTTAAAGCTAATAAAATGGAGGGAAAAATAATTCAAGTGTCTGCATAATCACTAACTATTGCTAAAGTTTTATCGAGGCCATCGGAATACCACCTTGTTGAGCAAATTTCAAATTTAGCAGGAAACTATTAGTTTGGAGATATTATATTTTTTCATAACTTCTTTATTTGTTTATTGTCGTTACGCTATTTGGTTATAACTTACTTTTTATATTAGTGACAAAATTATAAGAATAAGCCAAATATAACTTTATAACATAATAAGATTTGCGTGGAAGAAATGAAGGATGAGATAAGGAAAGACGCTTATTAATCAACCAAATGAAGCTTGCATTATTATGTTTGAATAAATTTGATTACAAAATCAGACATCTGCAATCAAGTAGTTTATTTTGGTTGAGCCGTGAAAATAATTACTAGGTGTGAAATGGAAATGCAAGGGACTGAAGCTTCTTTAATTCACAATGGATTCCTCCACGGCTGCACCTCCTATTCCACCACCATATCCTCCACCAAATCCAAATCCACTACCAGATCCTCCACCCAATCCGCCTCCACCACCGCCACCACCTCCGCCACCACCGCCTCCTCCTCCTTGAGCACCACTTCCAAACCCACCACCAAACCCTTCTCCGAAACCAGAACCACCCCCTGTTACTCCACCTCCACCACCACCACCTACACCTCCACCGCCGCCGCCACGTCATAAATTCCAGTGATCAAAGAAGAATTTTTTGATTATATAATGCTTGAATATCAGTTATTTGAATTAAAGTTTAATGCTTGAATTAATGTGTGAGTTAGTGGGATAAAGGATGTTATTTACGTTACTGTATAAGAAATCTTCCTCTTTTGATTTGTAACTGAAAATTTCAACAGACAAAGAAAACGGTGATATTAACTCTACACGATGATTCAAATTCAAACAGCAAATGATCATATGAGCATATGAATCCATTTGCTGAAATTTAATTATACAAACTTATACCACCAGATGAAATTGTACTGATATGAGCATATGAATTCTGTAATATGGTCTATAAACATAGAAAGAGTTTTCTTTTGGCAAGTTAATCGGATGATTTGTGACGTGTTTGGTGGTGATTGAGGTCATTGAGTAGATTAATTGATGAGAGAAGCGTTTTTCAAGTTATCATTTTTATTATCGAAATTGCAGTATTTTTGGTATAAATATTTAATAGTAAAATATGAATTTAAAACAAGAACAGCTACTTAGTTGATGGGTTGGGCTCCCCATATATGCTCAGTAAGGTTGGGCTTTTCATTCTCTGAAAATAAGCTTTAGTTGTGGGTTAACTTAGAACAACTCCCGGGTTATGTTGGCCCAGATATCTTTTTTTTTTCTTTTTTCAAAAACATGTATAATGGAAACTTTGTCCAAAAACAAAATAATAGTGGAGAATCACGTAATCCACTAAGCGTGTAAATAATTATGAATATGTGATTAAAATTAATGTTTTACTTTGACTGAACTGATAAATCAATTTAAGTGGTTATATTCATACCACATTTATTTTTATAAATACACAAGTTTTATTTACATTAAAGGTCATTAACTTTCATTCATTATCACATTTATATCATTCACTTTTTTTCTTCACCACATTCTAATATTTAACATTTCATTATCGGAAAATGTTGTTCTTAATTAAAATACCAATCTGTGTTGCAGTATGTAATATGTTCAATTGAAGGGAAATTATGCGATTCATTTAATTGTAAATTTCATTTAATGACACTTAGTGCCACTTAAACCAATGTTGTAACATCGGTTGGGCTAAATAGTATTACTCTTAAATAAATTAAAATATAGTCCTATCATTTTCAATTACTTCTAAATTGATCATTCTTCTTTCAATCTCATCCAATTTGATCATTCAACTTTCATTTACTTCAAATCTGACCACATTGATCTCCAAACTTTTCAAAATTTGAATTTGGTCCTCAGAATTATGAACTCATCAAGTTGGCACCTTCAAAGCTTCCAATCATGCACCAACTTTCTGGTTGCTCTTCAATTCCATTCTTCTTGCTCAATTAAGCTTCAATTGATCTCCTTTTTCTCGATTACCACAAAGTCAGGATTTCTACCGACAAATACAGCCTCTGTTTGTTTGACATTATAATTAGAATTGTGACTTGTGGGGAGGGGTCTCAGCTGCCATTTTTGACCAATCTCTCTCAAGTTGGGACCCACAAATTTAAAAAAAAACAGTGCAAAAAATCATTTTTATGTTAAAATAATGTCAAACAAATAGGGGCACAATATATACATAATTTTGAGTAGAATTCGTCTAATAAATCAATATTATGTGAGTTTAGAAGTCTTGATAAAAGTGTGAAACAAACTTATCAGTAGGCGCAAGAATATTCCTATATTGAGTGTGAACAAACCAATATTCCTATAGAATTTTTGCTTACATTTTTCAGCTTAATTTGCTTTGAATTCACTTCTTTCTGTGTACGCGGAAAGAGGGGGCCCAGACTTGCCCAGGCCCAATTAGTTTCGGGAATTGTTNGAGGGGGCCCAGACTTGCCCAGGCCCAATTAGTTTCGGGAATTGTTGTTAATAAATATATTTTTTTAAGGAGAAATTACACCTAGCCCTACTTTTAAAATACCATTTTCATAAATCCTAATTCAAGTTTCATACTTCAAAAATCAGGTTTTAAATATTAATTTAAAAACATTTTTTATTTTTATTTTTATATTTATCTACAGTAAATTAATTTATATATACCCCAGCCCTAACCCTAAAATCTTTAACCATTTCTATCTTCCTCCGGACTCCCTTCTCCACCACGCTGCCGGCGTATCTTCCTCCGGACTCTCTTCTNGAGGGGTCTCAGCTGCCATTTTTGACCAATCTCTCTCAGGTTGGGACCCACAAATTTAAAAAAAAAACAGTGTAAAAAATCATTTTTATGTTAAAATAATGCAAACAAACAGGGGCACAATATATACATAATTTTGAGTAGAATTCGTCTAATAAATCAATATTATGTGAGTTTAGAAGTCTTGATAAAAGTGTGAAACAAACTTATCAGCAGGCGCAAGAATATTCCTATATTGAGTGTGAACAAACCAATATTCCTATAGAATTTTTGCTTACATTTTTCAGCTTAATTTGCTTTGAATTCACTTCTTTCTGTGTACGCGGAAAGAGGGGGCCCAGACTTGCCCAGGCCCAATTAGTTTCGGGAATTGTTATTAATAAATATATTTTTTTAATGTATCAGTTCAGTATAAAATAAAATAAAATAAAATTGTCCCACGCTCATGTTCAGCGTCATGATATTATTGAAGTCCCCAACTTTGGAACTTGACAAGTCTAGAATCTTTTAGAGTATGTTGCACAAAACTACGTTACGATTAAAAGCTGATTAAACATTATTTTATTTGCGTATTTTTTAGAACTCACAACTTTTATTCACATATTTTGTAGGACCCACAACTTAAAATTTTAAAAAAATATTTACCAAAAATATATTAAATCTATTGCGACATCGAGTGATTCTCGACATCATTAACAATTTTGATGAAGTAGGGAGTCAATCAAAGGATACCATCGACTGGATAATAATTTTATGTACAAAGTCAGACCAAATATTGAATTGATCGCCTAAGCAAGACCAACTCAACAAATTTACAAGAAGGAAAATGCAGTATGATAACTTTAAATAACGTTAAATTATTGTTTTGACTCATTAACAAGATCAAATTTAAGGAAAAAAAAATACCTTTGACTTCGATTTTTAAATGTTCATATGAATTTGTCAACTCCATTTAGGCTTCTTGGTTTGTGATTGTTGGCTAGCAATTCTATTAATGAGTTCGTTGATTATAGTAACTTTTTACGTCGTAATTTTCTTTTAGTTGGTACTTCAAAACAATGCAGTACTATTTGCATCTCTTCGTTCCCCTTGCGTCTAAACATATGAGCCTTCCCCTTCCCTTTTGTCCCATCTCCCTTTGCCTTTGTTGTCGTTATAGTTGACAAAGTCTCCCAAATAGTCAAGTAGGTGATCAAAAGCTACTAAAGAAAGACGAGGAAAAAGAATAGAAACACAACATGGGTTAAACGACGACGCCTGGGAGTTAGATGAAATTTAAGGGTGATCGTGCAAGTTCGAGTAAGCACCAAGAAAATGACACGTGTAACGAAAAGACTAGTTAATGAATTTAAATTTCATAGCCTGCATGTATTTTGATGGATGCCAATGATTTAATTTCATTGGACTATTTTCAAAACATTCACAAAATATACTTTGTCAACCCCAATGAAACTTCTTGTCAGTTTAAGGAAGTTGTGCTGCTGGCAATCAAACAAAAACAACTCTATCTATATTCCTTATCGAAAGACAAAAATAATCTATTTTTAATTCTTCTCTTTTTCATCTTCCTTCAATTTCTTGGAAAACTCTCAGCATTTTCGTTTCTTTTTTGGTAGAATTTTCACAGCCAATGAACAAAAGTTACAAAAGAAACTAACCTGGGCTTAAATTTGAAGAACATGAGGGTTGAAATTATGGAAATGGAGCCAAGAACACCATCTCCAGATGATACAATTTCTGTGGCTTTGGGGAAGGATTTGAAGGAGGGGGAAAGAGTTTTGATGTGGGCATTGCATAATTCAAGAGGGAGAAAAATTTGCATCTGTCATATTCATCAACCTGCTCAGAGAATACCCATTTGTAAGTATAAAAAATTATACATTTCTTTGATTTATTTTGTTTTTCAGTTCTGTGATTTTTTATTTCTTTCTCTGATCATGAAATTTATGTTAATAATTTGTTGGTTTCTGTGTTTGTTATTGTTAGAGAGTTGCTTTTGGTTAATATTTGATGAGTACTGGGATTATAGGATTGATCATAGTGTTTTTTTTTTTTTGTCTTTCGACAAGTATCCGAGTCTAAGTTTGAGTTCGAAGTCTCTAAGGCGCCTTCTACTTCAGCCTCTAGTCTTGTATATCAGAGTGAGCGAGAAGTCATGTGCGATGACAAGTCTGGTCCGAATTTAAGTAGTCAAGAGGGATGGAAAAAATAGCAATTTCATTTCCTCGAGATGCTTTATACGAACAATTTAAGGACTATGGTCCAGCTAAATTAAACAAAACTCTTGATACACACATTCCATTTCTTATTTTAAATTTGTTCTGTAATAACTTTCTACTCTCTCTTTTCCTGTTACACACATTATCGTAAATACACAGAGGATACCACATACTTTTTGCTTCATGTTTGCAGTGGGTTCGAAAGTTCCAATTAGCAAGCTGGGAGATCACCAAGTTAGAGCATATCATGAAAATGAGAAACAAGTGATGCATAAGATTCTGGACAAGTATATTTCAACTTGTGCCCGAGCAGGGGTATTGTCTCTAACCCTTCTTCCAAAAGATATTCTCATCGTCTTACTGCAAATCAATCTTTAAAACTTGAAACCATATGGGATTACATATTCAGCTTATAACTTCAGAAAATTGTTATGGAATGTTATCTTATACTGCACAATTAACCTTTAAGATACCTTTAGCTGATGACAACTGATAATGGTAATGTCTAAGTTCCCATACATATTACTATAATTACCCTTTTGTTAGTTTTTAAATTTAATGTTTATTTTTTAACAATGAGGGGTACACGCTTTAGAACTTTTTCTTCTTATTCTTCTTTTTTGATAACTTCTCATTTTAGGTCAGGGCTGAGAAACTATACTTAGTGATGGACTCTATTGAGAAGGGCATTGTGCAGATTATATCTGAGCATGGTATCAAGTGGCTTGTCATGGGAGCTGCAGCTAATAAATCTTATTCGAGGTTTTATGCCATATATATATATATTTTTTGCCTTTTTAAAAATGAACAGCCAGATCTTCAATAAGAATAGCTTTATCCTTTACGTACATATACTTAGGATTATTCCAATCACCAAAAAATCCCAGTTAAAAAAACTTTTAAGTGTTTCCTTTTTCTGCTTCAGAAATAATATATAACCTTTTTACTTTCAGTTCACCATTTCATGTTTATAGCAGCTTTGTTTGAGTTGATGCTCTCTATTATTGTGGGAGAAAATAAAAGCATATATTTTATCCTTGGTGACCTATCCTTCATTTCCCACCTACAGGAGAATGACAGAGCCAAAGTCTACGAAAGCGAAGTATGTGCACTTAAATGCACCTAGTTACTGTCACATTTGGTTTGTATGTAAAGGACACCTTATAAACACAAGGTATGCATTTATGTTATGTTCTTTCAGTGATTTTTGAGGTTCCTGTTTAGAAATTTATCGAGGAAGATTTCATCCGTTTTAGAACTTCTAAACTGTCTGTCCAACAAGTGGATGGAATATAGACCTATCCATAGAGCATCTCCAGTGCATTAAGTGAACTGCCATCTGGTGGCATGTAAATAAAAAGACTTCCCATCTAAGTAGTATTGCCATCTAATGAATAGATGACTAAGTTTAAATTTCATCTCCAATGGATTCTTTTTAAAATTAAAATTTCATTTTTCAATGTATATTTAATAAGAGAGAGAAAAAAATAAAAAACATTAGAGAGAGAGAGAGAGAGAGCTTAAATTTTGCTTACTCGCCCTGTTTAACAAAGCCTCTACATCTGGACAACCTCTTCACAATGTCCATTTTTCCCTTGTCATGTCAACTAGATAGGGTCCCACTTAGGTGCATTGGAGAAGAATTTTTGCAGGCATTGCCAATTTTACTAATGCGGAAATTTTTTACACAATCCACATTGGAGATGCTCGTATGGTTAGTATAACAAATAGATTCTAGGCTTTATTTATATCTGTTGTTACAATCTTGATCACTAAAGCTTTCAGCCAAACCTAATATAGGAAAAGCAAATTAGATGGAGTTGACGTAGAGGTCGAGTCTTCATCGCGTCAAGCAAGTCCATGTATTGAAACTACACATTCTTCATTAAGATCCGACTCAGTTACAGGAGGACACAAAGTTCGACCACAGTTAAATTATACTGTTCCTGCCGATATGGACAGGTCTGTGAATCATTGTATGGAACTTTTAGCACCATCTGATGTCTATGGAGGGGTAACTCCACAGTGCAGGTTGAATCTAGAAGGGAGCATTGATTGTGATGGAAGTTCTTCAGCAGGATCACCATTTTCAACGTGTCTGAATGAAATAATTGAAGATTCAACTTCAATCTCCCTGGCAAGGACAATTAATCCAGAGTTAGCCATGCTTCAGCAAAATAATGAGCGTCATTCAAATTTTTCCGTTGCTTCCAGTGCCATAGTAAGTAACCAAAAAAATTTGTATTCATATTTGCTCTAAGGGGTTGATTATATGTATCGGGGAGTTGATTTTGTCTATTACATTAAGTACTGTCATTGGGAAATCCTTCTGACTAGTTAATGAACTTGAGCAGGAAGGAACTATGAAAGATGAACTTTATGATAGGCTCAGGCAATTTGTGATGGAAGCAGAAAAGGCTCGGCAGGGAGCATATGAAGAATCAATCAAGCGTAAGAAAGCTGAAAAGGATGTCATTGATGCTATTCACAGAGTAAGGGTGTGTTTGATGGATATTATTGAAGAAAGAATGTATTTTAAATAGTGATATGATGAAAAATATGTGGTTAAAAAGTAAGGAAAAGTTATTGACGTGATGAAAAATATTATTTTATTGAAAAATGTTTGATGGAAAATGAGTTTTGAAAGAATGTGTGTCAAACGGGGGCTAAATAATCAATCACATTTCTCTTATTTCCATTCTGAAATTAAATACGAGAATTTTTATACGTGTTCTGGTTATAGTTTTAGCCTATCCGACTCTTTCTTGGGTAGGGGATTGAAATTTTAGTGCATGGGACATTGTCTTATTTACAGAACATCTTTCGAATACTTTTCTAGAGATGCTATTGGTCTTGGAGGTACTGAGCTTCAAAGATCTTATCGTGTTACTCTGTGTTAGATTATGTTGAGCTTAATCATACTGGACACTTGGCTGTCGACCACATACCATACGAATAATTTTAGGGGTACAATGGGTGTTCGTAGGGTTGAATATCCCAGTTGCAACCGAACTTTCTCAAATATTTCTCAATTGCCATTGAACTTTATATATTCTCCGAGTTGCCAGTGAACTTACTAAAATATTATCTCGTCCGCCAGTTTCAAAAGTTAATGAGCTATATGACATGGTAGATTGAATGACGAATAAAATAACATTTTGATAAATTTATCATGTCTGTTTGTTTGAAGGCTTTCTTTGTTTTCTGAATTTATTATTGTTCCCATAAGTAGGGATTAAGTCTTAATCTGTAATGATATGTGCTTAAGCTTTAGTGTCTATGACTTTAAACCTACGTGGTGTTTATGAAAATTGCATTTTTAGGCTAAAGCATGCGAAAGCATGCTTATGGAGGAGTTAAGATACCAGAGAGAAATTGAAGAAGCCATAGCAAGAGATAGGGAAGAAGTCAAAAAGGTTAAATACCAGCTAGATGAAGTCATGAAAGACATCGAAGTTTCTCAGGATCAGAAATCCATTCTTGAGTGTCAAATTTCCAGTTCTACCAAGAGCATAGAGAAGTTGGAACAGGAAATATTTTCTACTACTGAATTGCTGCAAAAATACAGGAATGAAAGAGACGAATTGAAGGTTGAGCATGTTAATGCACTCATGGTAGCCGAGGAGCTGAGGAAAAAACAAGATGAGGAGACGTCGAGTTCATATGTGTCTCAGTTCTTTTATGAATTCTCATACGCAGAAATAGAATTTGCAACTAACAGATTTGACGAATCCTTAAAGATTGGTGAAGGGTATTATGGAATTATTTATAAGGGGCTCCTTCGGCACACTCAAGTGGCCATAAAAATACTTCACCCAAATAGCTTGCAAGGTCTTTTGGAATTTCAACGTGAGGTAAGAGGTTTAAGAAGAAACTCTCTCATGCTATCTGCTAAATCATATAACTAGCTAATGGGGGAATGAAGATAAGAATAAATATAGGATTTAAATAGGATTTTAAAGTAGAATTTGATTTAGAAATTCATTTGAGTTTAACTACTGTCCCCTATAAATGTGACTAAGGATTTCATCCCTCTTCTTGATTATTAATTGAATATTTGTTCTCCCTTTACTTTTATCTTTCCGTCCCCCTTCTTCTCTTTATCCTCTCCTTTCCTTACCTCTTTCTTTCTCAACCTCGTTCTTGTTGGATTGTATTCTACATCACTAGCTATTCGTCGGGGGAACACAGTTTTTTCATTATTGCCAAAGTAAAAGTCGGAGAAAACAAACAATAAATTGTTCTGAATAAATTTGGGGTAGGCTTCATGAATCCCTTTTTCTCGTTTCATTTGGCTAGATCCTTAGCAATCACAACTATAAACTGACTACTACTTTCTTTGGTTCTTCATTAACATACCTATGCACAGTGTGTCTCACACATTTCCTGCCCTAACATTTGGTTGCAGCTATGAGATTTCCACAAAGTTAAATAACAACTATATGAAAATTGACTACATGCACCATGTTTTCAATTTCACTCGACCCCGTCTCAATTTTTCGAATTTCTTTTATGTTATCTGTATTTTAAGACCAGCTCCTCTTAAGTTATGTTTTGGTCCCCCTTTCCTTCCTGTGCATTTTTTGTCCCAAGATGTAACAATGATATCCAATTTATTTTATCTCCTATAGATGCTATTTTGGCTGTTACATATTTATCTTTTGGTGATCTTAGGTAAATATACTTAGTAAGCTGAGGCATCCGAACCTTGTCACTTTGATAGGCATCTGCGAAGAAGAGTTGGCTCTTGTCTACGAGTATCTTCCAAGTGGAAGCCTTGAAGATCGCCTCAACTGCAAGGACAATACGTTCCCCTTGTCATGGCAAACTCGAATCCGCATTGCAGTAGATACATGTTCTGCACTTACCTTCTTGCATTCTTCCCGCCCTCGGGTACTTCTACATGGAGTTCTGCATCCTGCTAATATTCTACTTGACTCCAACTTTGTGGCCAAGCTTAAAGATTTTGGAATATTTTACGATGAATTTTCAGACAACAGGACCACTTTAAGCAGTAGCATTGTCCCGATAGGCCCGATTGGTACTTTTGTGTACATGGATCCCGAGTTTCTTGCTACTGGAGAGTTTACTTCGAAGTCAGATGTCTATTCTTTTGGAATCATATTGTTAAGGTTATTAACCGGACGACCTGCATGTGGGATCACGAAGGAAGTGCTGTGTGCCTTAGATGAAGGGAATTTGAAAGATCTGCTGGATCCAACAGCTGGGGACTGGCCATTCGTGCAAGCAAAACAGTTGGCTCACCTTGCAATCAGTTGCTGTGAGACGAACAGTAGGCGCCGGCCTGATCTTGTTTCAGAAGTCTGGAGGATTCTTAAACCGATGGGGGGTTCCTTTTTCCAGTTGGGTTCCAAAGAGCTCTGCCAGGTTCCATCCTATTTCACGTGTCCCATCTTTCAGGTTGGTCGAATGCTATACACTCTATCTACAATATTCTTTTATGCGAATGTGGTTAAATTAACAGTATACAAGAGATGTAGTCTACTGCATTAGACCAATCCCTAAATTTGTTGATATCTCCAGGAAATCATGCAAGATCCTGTGGTTGCTGCTGATGGGTTCACTTACGAGGCTGAGGCTATCAAGGGCTGGCTAGAGACTGGTCACGATACATCGCCCATGACCAATCTCAAGCTTCCACACTGCAACTGGGTGCCTAACCATGCTCTTCGATCTACAATACAGGAGTGGCTGCAACAGCCTTAAAACTTAGTGTTGACAATACAAATTGAATCAAACGAATTTATTGATGAAACCATTACAATCGAATATCAATGTAAATAAAATCAACAAATCCTCTCACCTAATTATGACTTTCACTTCTTAAATTCACTAGTCTTGATGCTTCAACTAGAACAAGAGGAAAAATAGTTATTTGAAAGGGAAATATTTGAATTGCATCCCTTCTTCTTCAAATGAGACGATATTTATAGATTTCCCTATAGACCTTGAGATAGTTTTGGTCACTTTCAAGTCGTGTTAGATGACAGCTCCTTATTGGTTATTTTGTAACTGATTTGATTAGGAGTCATGTTTCATTCATTTGCTCATGTTCTTCTTATTAATAGTCTGTAGTTAGTCTGTTTATGAAAAATAGTTCGTTAATCTTAGACGAGCCTTTTGCATCTTCGTTCCCTTCGCTTGTTACTTCCCGCCTCGCTAATGGGTAAATCTTGCAAGGTGTATTCCTTGGTTCAACATGTTCTAACTTTTACGAGTTTTCATTCAAATTTTACTTTTGTCTTTTTGTTATATACTTCTATACATCACATCTAGCATGCATATACTCTGTTGATAAACCAACACCATTTCTTTACAAACATTCCAAGCAAGCAATGGTTATGAAGTTCAGTTGTTACATGCTAGATTAAGGTTGTGATGGTACATATACAAGAAGTAAATCCATAATGTACAAGTATATACCTGTGTAAGTATTATTTTCATTTGACAAATTTTTCCTTTTTGGGGCGTGTTTTGTAATCCTTGTACTTTGACCTGGTATCTATCTCGATGTTCTTCACACTTAGTCGACATAGTGACACTTATCAGTGTCATTACGGCTCGTCTGTTGGTTGGTTTAAGAAGACTAGACTGAAATTCACTAGCAAACTTAACGAACAGACTAGTGTTACATAATCATATTATTTGTCAATTCAACTACTTTTTGTACATCATATGAACGGTCCAATCAGCATAAAAAAATGTTTGATCCTTTTTTTGAGGAAGAAACGAAATAGAATCAACCTAAATTTGAGACTGCTACTCGAAATTTTAGTGAAGTATTGAATTTCTTATGTCACGTTTGCACCTCTCACTCTTATTACCTCTTAAATGGAAAAAAAAAAAAAAGATTCAAAACTTGGTACTCTTATCAAGTGTCCCTTTTTTTCCCCTCCAAAGATACTCTGGGGACACATAGCTCGGAGGATTAAAACACGTGACTACAAACCATGTTCAGTATTAATCTCCTCAAAAGTCATCGCTAATGTTTCTTTTGCAGTATTGAGAGTTCATTTTACTTGCTCACTGCAGGTGACCAAGATGCGCTATGTACAATATTAACTTATAACTTTGCAATTAGCCCCTCGATAGCCGTCGAACCAATCATCCTCAACATGACAGACTCGCACCCTTAGGCGGATAGGCCACCAAAATGTTGGTCGTGTAAGCCATACACGGCTCGCTTTACACACGTTATTCGAACAATCCGGGTGTGTAAATATGTTCATATTGCCAACAAATAAGTATGAATTAAGAAGTAGTACCAACGGTTACAATGCTAATCCAAATATATAGAGCAAAGGCAACTCCTCCATTGCTTCAAATAATTAAAATCAATATTCAATAGATCAATACTCTCCTTACCCATTCAAATAAGTGCTTCAGGTCTCCAAAAGTGTGCATATTCATGATAAATAGATAAAAATTGAACTTATTTTAATGGAATGTATTGCACAAAAGTGTGTATACTTTGATGCAGGTCCTGATCATGCATATTGTCCTAAATTTGAATCTGGAGGTCAGATTGAAAAAGAAAATTTACCTACGTGCTAGCCGTGCATTGGTAACAGAAGTACTTCCCGAGTATCTAATATGCTACAAAACTGAGGCTGAATTGCACCATCCATTCGAACAGTATTTCTCCTTCTAGTGAGGTTTTGGCTTATATCCATCAACGGCAAAGTTTCGAGTGGCAACAGGAAGTGCCAGACGAATTCCATCAATTTCAGGTTTTGCAATTATTTGGCAACCCAGACAAGAACTGCAGAATTATGCATAAATTCATGGACCAAGAAAAACTAGAAGAATCATTTATTAATTTTCAAGACAACGGACATCCGTGTCAGTCAGGCCAAAAGCAAGATCTAACATGTCATTCTCCTCGTCAGCAGGATCTTCTAGTTTGTTGTAATAGTCCACGTCCTAGCAAAAAGCACCAACAAATAATAAACATGGATGATTTTTCTAATAAATTTTCTCCCGAGATATCACCATTTTTCTTTCTTGCTCCCATGGGAGAAAAGGTAATTCACGAAATAACTGTCCTTATGAACAGTAGCTTACCATTACGATAACATGACAAGTAGAACAAGCAAGGGACCCTTCACATGCTCCTGTCAAGAAAATATCCACACGAATTAGCTTAGGTCTTTGCCTAGGCATACCATTTATAAAAATGCAGAACTGAGATACTGGCAAAGCGGAAAACCTAAGTGATTATGTGAAGATATAATCTCACGATTGAACCGATACTTGCTAGTCAAATAAAAAGGAACAAACTGGTAATCTGGAAACTCACTCAAAAACATGATAAGTTGACACAACATGCATAATGGAGATTACACATTTAGCAATATTTACCTTCTAGCTCTGTCATTCTCGTGTGCAGCTTCCAACATTGACATTCCAAAAGGGACCTTGATATGTATCTCTTCTCCATCCTTGTCTACGAATGTTACTGAGACTCTGGAGTGTACAGTCAGAGGGCACATAAAAACAACGGGTTAGATAATGTTAGTAGTATATATAAGCCTGTTTTTGCTTTCCATACATCAGAAATCAAGATGGTGAGACCAAAATAACATTAAGTTGCATGAAGTTTCAAGCAACACTAAGACGGTACCCATTAACAGTTGACTGCTGGCCCCCAATTAACATGGATCATGCGACACAATCAGTTAATTTAATGAAAGTTATAGAAAACAAAATCATAACCAACATCTACCTTACAGACTTGGACCTCTTATTCTCCAACTATAAGATTTGAAGGTACAAGCTTTTCTTGGGTAAAATCCTAAGTATTAAGGAAATGTTCTTTAGGCTAGTGCTACAATTCCACTTAAATTCTATCCTGTTTGGATTCTTTCCAATTTTCTCCATAATAATGTCAAGGCAACTCTCAAGGCACGTCCTTCTATGAGCCAATGATCAGAGCTAACTTTCCTATCTAAAAGAAAGGAACTAGGAAAATAAATGAAGAAATGTATGGAACTTGTGTGCTTGGAGAACTCACTTCTGTTTTTCTCCACTGCCTTCTTCTGATACCTTTTTGTCTGTAGAGGTGCAAAATGATGCGTGTCTCTGAATACAAAAGGAAGATAGCTAAGGAACAAGAGCATCTAAAACACAATGGTGCCCAACATGGTTATATATCCATCTGTTACTATCATGGTGTCATCATAAACAGGACCCAATACTAGATCAGAACTGAGACATGAATGTTTATTTTAACTGTTAATCATTGTTTGCTCAAGATAAAGCTCAACAAGCCATTTTAGGATCGTTCAGGTTGTAATAAAGTAGCATATATTGACCTTAGAACTGTGAAGACACTAACCACGGTTTGTGAATAACGGTTATGAATCACAGGCACATATGATGTCCTCGGTGTAAAAGATGGAGCTGCAATGCAACAAAAGGCAATTATGGGAAAGAAGTGACTGAAAAGAAGTCTACCAAAGTAAAGAAGTTTAACTTTAAATATTCATGTAAATGCATGAAAATTATTACTTGCGTGCAAAAAGTGCAATGTGAATATCAGTGCATTTCATCAACGTGATTTTTCTAAAATATAGGACGCAAACCCGTTCATTAAAACAATATATTATTACAAAAATAAAAACTAGTGTTGTCTATTCAAAAGATAATGCTCTGATTTCTATAAATTGGAAATTAAACAATAATTAAGTGATTAAGTCAACTTATTTCTATTAAAAAGTTGGCCCAATACAATACTTAGCTTCTTGATGCTGTTTTTGATAGAATTTCTTTGACAAAATCGTCTTAGAACTGGAGGATTCCAGAGTTTCCAAAGGATAAAGAATACAGAAGCAAATGGAAATAGATTTCTTATTACTCTTTCTTTCTTTCCTTATCTTTCTTTCTTTCTTTCCCTTTTTTTTTTTTTTTTTTGTCCTGGAAATTAGCAAACAATTCCCATAAAGTTTTTCATTTTGTTGTGCATTGAACAGATTAGAGCTCTTTGGGATGAGAGCAATTGAAGAATGAGTGACCACAAACTCCACTATAACGTTTGTCAATCAAGAATTCATGTCAAGCTCAACTGTTAGCATGCATTAACAAAAAAAAAAAAATTTGGAGGCACCATTTAAGATTTGGATTTTATAGAAAATAAAAAATGTATATGGTAAATTACAAAATAATTTGTTTATTGCTTACTTTTTCTCTTACTTAATAAATAAAAATAAAATATCATCTATTGTTTTCTCCAATTCAGTCCCCATGGACCAAAT